CACCACCATTTACAAAAATATTCAGAAGTAGTCCCGTTCCGTTTGTTCCCTTTGACCTTCTACCCGAAGGATTTTAACTGTCGATAGCAAAATCTAAATCTGAGATTGTACTCTGTCTGTCTGTCTGTCTGTCTGTCTGTCTGTCTGTCTGTCTGTCTGTCTGTCTGTCTGTCTGTCTGTCTGTCTGTCTGTCTGTCTGTCTGTCTGTCTGTCTGTCTGTCTGTCTGTCTGTCTGTCTGTCTGTCTGTCTGTCTGTCTGTCTGTCTGTCTGTCTGTCTGTCTCGTGTGTGTGTGTGTGCGTGCGTGCGTGCGTACGTGTGTGTGTGTGTGTGTGCGTGCGTGGGATGCTACTGCTTCGAGAGATGGAGTTTTAAAGTAAGTTAAGAGTGGATTTTTGTCACCTGGTTAATGTAATGCTTACTTGAATACAGACAGAAACGTGTTTGTACAATAAAAGTCACCTGTCCAGTAATTAGCATTATCACTGAGTTGGCGATATTAGCGAACACTCGGGCATCTACGTCTAGTATAAATCATCTACAAACAACGGACTGAAAAAAAGGAATGACAGAAAAACTAACAATAGTTTTTAAAGGCTTGAAAGGAAGACAGGAACACATTGTGGAAAGCCTAAACGGAAATTTCACAGAAAACTCGCACTATGAATTTTTCCCAATAAAACCTTGTGGTGCCTGAAACTGAAAATGGGATATGGTGCTAATAACATTGGCTAAAGTCAAAGTGTCTGTCTCACAACACCAAGATTAAAATATATAAAACGTTGATAAGACTAGTCGTGTTATATGGCTCTGAAACTTGGAGCACAACTAAAAAAAGATGAAGCCTTATTACAGGTTTTCGAAAACAAAGTCTTTAACGAATCTTTGGCCATCAAAAATGCAAACGGCGGAGAATAGAGAGTGAGAAGCAACAACGAAATAATTCATAATCTGTTAAAATCACCACTGATCACTGGCATAATGAGAGCTAATAGGCTGAAATGGTTGGGGCATGTTGAAAGAATGTCAGATGACAGAAAAGTAAAAACGGTATAAACAATGGAGATGAATGGTCGTAGACCACGAGGCAGACCAAGAAGACGATGGAGAGATAATGTCCAGATAGACCTGCAAATACTTAGTGTCACCAAGTGGAAAGAGAAGGCCAACCAGAAAGATGAAGGGAGGCGGGTGATATCTGCAGCAATGAACTCCAAGCCCTCGGAATGCTGAAGAAGAAGAAGATCGGGAAGAAACATTATGCAGTTTCTGAAGCCTGAACATAGAACCGTTGAATATCAGGCTTGAACTGGCTTACTACAACAATAATGATTACTTGTGAATAATTTACTACGAATATACTGCATAGCCAATCTAGAAACCCTCATTTCGCTGTCATCCCTTTCCGCACTAGCACCATGTTTTTATTTTTTCATTACGTCTATGGGCAGTCCTGTGAGCAGCCGTGGCGAGGCAGCTGGATGCTCCACCTTCGGCGTGAAGATCTTGGGTACAAATGCGGTGGGAGTCAAACTTTGGTTTCTAAAAAAATGATTTTGGCTCCCAGGTCTACCCAAATTAAAAATTGATACCAGATATGGTCCAATGAGTTTATGGTGGCCGGAGTGATGTTGACCACATCACCCACTGAAAGACAATTGGTCAATATAAATAGTAATCTAGCATCATATGAATAATGCACCACTGGCGTGGAAAAGATCCTTAAATTTTACAATTGAGTGCCCCGCACTCTCCATCCCATCCATCCCGTCCTTTTTCCCAGAGAGACACGCAGTGTTGTATTTGTTTTCCCAAGTGGTTCGATGGAACCTAATATTCTCATGCTGTGTAGCATGTCCTTCCGCTCTCTATAAACCATTCTGTAGAAAACAGTGCGTATCACAATGTCGTTTGTATGCTACCATAGTTATCGATTATTTTTGGAACAAAAACCGTTGTAATCGCATTGCTTTTCCCCTATGTGCTCACAGGCGGCAAACTTGAAAGAGCTCCATGTTTACACAACAGTCCGTTATGACTGCTTCTTTATTGATTTTGTTGTTGTTGTTGATTATAAATCATGTTTTAACAATTAATTATGTTTAGCAACAAGAGCTGTCGCTGCCTGGTGACTGGACCAGAGTTCCCCAATCTGTTTTGTGCCATGCCCCACACAGGAGGCCTTTCTAAAATTATTTTTCAAGCGAGTACAGATTCCAGTATGCTTTAAACACACACGTGCGTGAGCGCACACACGCACACACACATGAGCGAGCACGCTGAATGTGTGTATGTGAGTGTGTGTGTGTCTGTGTGTTTGGCCCACATTATAAAACAAAAGTGTTTTTAAAACTAGCATCATCAATCATCAGGTCCTTTACAGAACGTCGCTCTCTTCATAGCAAACCTGAGAGTCTTTCGTTCTCCAGCCAGTTCTCCAGGCCGGTGTGCATTTCTAGCCAATACTTCTTCATTGGCGTTCACCCACATTCCACCTCTTTTTCCGAAAATAGTACCCTCCATCACATTCTTTTCAGACTATGTTAATGCTTGACGTGACCGAAATTCCCCAGCTTTTGGGACATGATGTTGTATTTAAGACATTTCTCCTCGGTGTTCAGATTATGTAGGATCTCGGTGTTTTTCTTCTACATATTCTAATAATTTTTCTGTAATATTTCATTTCAAATATTTTTTCTTCAAATACTGAGTAGGAACCAATCATTCACGTCCGTGTGTTATCTCCACGATTGTCAATGTAACTTGCTTGCAGGTGTTGTACCAGGGGTTCTTTATGCTGAGTGCTTGATCGTGAACTAGAATATTCACAATCTGTGACATTTTTACTCTCTTTGTTTTTGATTTTAATACGTGGCTAATGTGCTGTTTTATTCTGGACATAGTTTTTTTTTTAAATTGTTTTTGGCGGTGAACACAGTCAAAAGACTTCCGGTAGTTATGGAAATAAAATTTAAAAAAAAAAACAAAAAAACAATGTGTAGTCTAAGAAACATGTATGGAGTTATGTTTTGTATCCTTTACTTTTCTCAAGTATTATTAATATATTGAAAATATAATTTCTTGTTCCTATGTAGTGTCTAAAACCTGCTTTTTCTTTTTGTAATTCATATTATAATGTCATTTTTATCCTCTTCAGGATGATTTGCAAAATAATATTTCTCTGGGATTTAAAGAATTTGCTGTATTATGACTTTTTTTTATACGATCTAAGGGAAGAGAGTAAGTCATTAGTGGAGATATCCGCGTGCAGTAATATATTCCCAAAAGAAACATCTGATTAGATTAGTTTCATATAATTTTAATCGTGTAACTTTTTATTGTACAAAAACAAAGCTTAAAAAGTTGAACAGCCACACTTCCGGCGAAACGTTGTCCAGCGGTACGCGAAGTTAAGAAAAGAAGGTTCGCTTCTTTTATTTCAATATTTGTTTAACATGCACAAACGCTGTCTTATTTCTTTACATACATGATTTAAGTGTATATATAACACGGTAAAACCACGTCAGAATTAAAATGGTCGCATCAGGCTGCTTGGTGGTGTTGTGTGTATATATTCCTGACTGCACTGAATTGACTTGGAATTTAGTCCTTCCTTATCAATGACCAATGGCAATGACCAATGCTTTAGTTTTTCTGATTTTATCACTATCACTCTGCAGCAGAAAAGTCAAGTGAACGAACTCTCACTGATTGATAGGCAGACTTTGGTGCTAGGGTTTGTATAACAGTTGTATGTTACATTATAGGTGCTTATAGAGATTCAAATGTAAATTATATAGCGAATTGAATTGATCAGAATTGAATATGCTTCTCACCCTAGATAAATCATAATTAATAAGTGTTCCAGATTTACAGTATCTATTATGGAATGAAGGATTGCGATATCCATAGTACCGAGCCAAAGGTCTAACAACTCATGGTTTCTGGATACTTTAAAAAAAAATGTACCCACAATACAGTAACTACTTCTTTACTTTACTATTAAATAGTAATACTCTGACTAAACTGCTTTCAGATAAATTATTATGCGGCTCTCCTTTCAACTGCGGCCGGTAGACAACAGTAGACGGCCGGTTAGTAGGAGTTCTGTCCCCTTGCTGCAGTGCAATTACAGAGTGGAAAGGAGGGAATGAAACAAATGACATAATTACTGTGTGTTGGCGATAGACAGCATGCACTGCCCTGCTATAATCACACGGTTAGGGTGTGGATTAGGGTTACGGTTAGTGTCGCCGCATCTCATCTTCGCACAAACTCATAGTAGCAACCCAAACCATAACCCTAAACCTTACCCCTAACCGTATGATGACAGTAGGGCACTGCACTAATGCCAACACACAGTAATTATGTCACTTGTTTCGTTCCCTCTATTCCACTTCGTAATGCGTCACGAGAAGCGGTAATTGAACGCGGTCGCTAATTTGAGTCGCAGCGCGGGGTCTTCAAGGCATGTCGACCTCACTGTGTTGTCTGATTCGTGCCTTCTCCAGTCCATAATTGCACTGCAGCCAGGGGACAGAACTCCGACTAACCGGCCGTCTACTGTTGTCTACCGGCCGTAGTTGAAAGAAGAGCCTATTATGCTAATCATTTTGAATGTGTTAAACCTGTCTGAGTTAAGAATCTGCCCCAATAATTCTAAAATTTGTGCAAATACTGACATAGTAAGGCTATCCTCCGAATAACGGTCCCAAATTATTGAGGCTGAAAATTTACCCTAACAGGGCCTCAGTCACGTGTCAATTGCGGACTTCCGGGGACTATACTGCCACCACCGAATTGCGGACTTCCGAGGACTATACCGCCAAAAGCATCCGCCACGCCTCTCACGCGGCATGTATTGGGGCTAAACTAGATGCCTGGGACTCGCGAGCAAATAAAATGAAAACTGCAGAAATAGAAATACTCATCGCATCAAATGCTTTAATGTGAACCTTAAGTTTAGGCTTATATTTGTTTTTCTCTTTGCAGATTGTCAGCATGAGTCATCGGCAAACACCTAGTGAGTTCCTGAACCAAATCAGAGGTCGACCAGTCATGGTGAAGTTAAACTCTGGGGTGGATTACAGAGGTGAAGTCTACTAATTATCGAACTTAATTCAACATCATTACATATTTTATTGATACAGTAAAAGTGCTAAAATATTGTCCATTATAGACTTTGATAAATCCAGAATTTCTAGATTTTCAGCTAAGAGGTTTTTAATTATAATTTACATACTGCCTAATACAAAGAATGAAAATGTAACCTCACTTTACCTTCTGAGAGGAGTTGAGTGCTTACTATAATGGTACTGAACAGGAAGATGTTATTGTTTTAAAAGAGAGTACCCTTCCAATAAAACTTCAGGAGTTTTAAATGCTGGCATCTTCTCTTTCTTCTTTTTTTTCCCCTCTATCTCCTCACTACTTGGACCTGGTTGAGACTGATCAGGTTTGACTAAAAATCTGTCCAAAGAACTTTGCTTCTGCCTTTTCCTCAGGATGTTTAGAATGCTATTGTGGCTTCTTTGGGCTTTTTTTGGTTTGATCTGCTCTGGAAAATCATTGACATCTATATGTGCCGTTGTTTTTTTTTCTCTTAAGAATGGTAAACAAAAATAGTATGCTGCGTCGTGGCTAACTTACTGACAAGTTCTAGCATTTGGGTCATATAGCAAGCAAGAATTAAACAGGAAATATACTAAGTTAAATGTATACCAGAGCAAACATACACCAAGGTACCAATGCATTTGTTAACAAAATACATTTTTTTAAATTCATTTTTTTAACAAAACAAATTAGCATTTTTTCATGGCATTCTAATGAATGCTAGCTCTATGAATGTTTCATCAGTAAGCATTTGTTTTGCTTTCTTTAAACACTTTTGTATATCATCTTGTTTATATAATTTATTTTGTGATAACAACTGTATGCACCATATAGACATGTGTAGCCTCTAAGTGAAAATGAAAATGTCTTCTTTAGAAACCAGATTTCTTTAGTTTCCTTTGACCAGATCTTATTAGTAAGTTGTTGTTGGACACCAGCATTTATTTAGTTATTCATCGTTTTACTAGGCAGCCTTTTGTTTTTTTTTTCAACATTTGGTGGTTTGCCATTCTTTTCTGAGCAGTCGACTTTTGATGCTATTGTCGAAATCAACACACATCAGTCTGTCAGATTGCCTGCAGCAGGAATTGAACCGGGTATCTAAAAATTACAAGCCATGTTTGTAACACATCTGTCACGAACAAGGATTGTCCAAATGTAAAGGGTTACTAAACTCATTGCCTGTTGGCTGAGATTCACAGGGAAAAACACTTGACATGTTCAGTTGTATATCCTGTATCATTGTAAGCTTGTCTGTTGCTAACATGTTTTATCAATCTTGTTTAAGGTGTATTATCATGTCTGGATGGTTACATGAACATAGCATTGGAGCAGACTGAAGAATATGTGAATGGGCAGTTGAAGAACAAATATGGTGATGCATTTATTCGGGGAAATAATGGTATGTTATACATGTCACAGGAATATGTAGAGTTTCGTAAAGTAACTAATTAAAGGTCCCTTTTCACACCAGTGATACATATGGTATATGCTGCTAGACTCATATTTTTATAGACCGTAATGCACTTCTTAGTGATATCAGCATCATGCTGGCCGCTTATACTTCCCAAGGTAATTCCTTTTACCCATTTTAGACTGGGTAATTTTAAAATGATTTTGACCATACTAAAAAATAAAGGCTTTTGTAGCATAAGGGTAGCACACTTCCTTACTAAGATAATGGTCTGAGGTGAGTTCCCATTTGAGTCAGTCTTATTGTCTCTGACAGTATGGTCCTGATGTCAACATAGACTGAAACATCATAACCCATTCAGTCTCTGGATTTGTCCAAGAATCATCAGTGGCAAAGAACTGTAACTGACCACATCACCTCATGTAGTGGTTAAGAACACAAAGGCTACAACTTCACACCCCAATGGCAGTAGCAGCCATATGATTATCTAGTCCTGTTTTCATATTTGTATATTTATGGTAATTTTCTGTTTCTTATGGTCCATGGCATTGGTAGTCGTGTAGTCCACAACCTTTCTATCTCATGTACTATCACTCAGTTCTGACACAGATGAACTTCCTTGACATAATTTCCAGCATTTTCTCTCTCTGTCTCCCTGTGCCTCTTTTCCCACCTAGCTTTCCTACCATCACAGTGTACTTCAGTTTTCTCCTCCTCATGCTTTGACATAAGAATGTGCATTGTCTCCTTCTCTTCGTGAGCCATTTTAGGACATCCTAATTACTCTTTTTATCTGTCCAGTGTGCTCTCCTCATTTGTATGTAAAATCACATCTCTGCCGCTTAAACACAATTTTTACTAATTGGCCGTATAAGAGAGCATGTTCAGTCTTGAGCACTTGACAGCACTTACTTGATTCATAATAGTAAAGTTCTGAATTTACTGCAATTACATGAGAGTTGAAAGTGGAATAAATCTGATCAGAACCACTGATTACAGATGCAGCATTACACAAATCTAAAATATTAGACTCTGTTCACTAACTTTAGGAGTAAGGCTACATTTGTAGAGCCTGTTTTTTCATGGGAATTGGGGAGGGGGTGGGGTCTCAGTGGTGAAGTAGTTAAGCCATTTGTCTCACCCTCTAAAAGTCGTGTGCTTATTTCATAGTCTATATTATTTAATTCATGAGTGTGGTTTTAAAGAGATGCCTAGAAATTATTGCTGGGGCTACAGGATTCATGCTTTGTGTGTGACGCTTTCAGCAGGGAGCTAGATGTTCTACGAAGAGAGATCTGGCCATATGCAATAACCCAGGGCAGTGTGGTAAATCCTCTCAACCTTATTGAACTGATTCAGTGCTGCCTGCTAAATTGGAAGTCACAGTAGCTAGCCTGTTTGCCTGCTGTCCTCGTTGTCTTGTGTTTGAGTCTCCATTGAGTCAAGGATTTATTTAAAATGACCTGTTCTCCATATTCATCTAGCCTAAAACAAAGTTAGCTGGAAATTTTCTTTGAAGTACAGTTGACTGGTTTAATGTTGATCTATATTACCCTTTGCATGCTGATTGGTATCTACAAATATAGATTTATCTTCATCTGCCCACTAACCTCATGATGTGGAAATCTTACTTGTTTAATCCTGTATGATGGATTTATACATTCAACTTTGGGTTTAAATTGTTTGCAAACTCTCCAGCAAAAACTCTGTTATAGAACCTCCTATGCAATCAGTAAATGAGTTTGTAAACATACCTCCTTATAGTTTAAACTCTGTTATAGAACCTCCTATGCAGTCAGCAAAATGTGTGTCCTTATCTGCAAGGGACTGCAGGTTATTGGCTGATGTAGCCATTACAGTTGCCCTAATTGTAACTGCTTTGAGGGTTGCATGGGGTATCTGGGATCTGCATTATTGGCCTGCCATCCAGATTTAGATTTATTAATCTAAGGATGTATGGTGAATCTTTAGCTAGCAGCTAAGAGGGGACAAACTGATCAGGGCATCAGTCTAAGCATGTGACTTTCATAGTATGTTTGTAATCCGGTTTAAATTCTTTCCTCAGTGTTATACATCAGCATTCAGAAAAGAAGGTAGCTGCAGATTTGGATTGGAGTGCCTGGAACCATCATCGGAGAGTCTCATTATATGTTTATTAGTGAATGACATCATGTTAGCATTCAAGTCACTAGACAGACAGCCAAGTCCTCCCCATCTGTTTGACATCAGGATTCAATAAATACCAATAGCTGGTCAACACTTTTGGAGAGCCTGTTACCATCATCAGCGTGTTTCATTTTTTTTGTTTTAATGTTTTATTAGTAAAGTGATCATGTTAGCATTCATGTCAGTAGACAGCAAAGTCCTCCTTATCTGTTGCACATCACCATTTAAAAAAAAAAAGAAACAGTTGCAGAGTGTCTCAATATATGATGTTTTATTGGGTAATGTTATAATTGTGGCTAACAGTAGATTGCAGAGTCATGTCAGTCTGCTTCATTGTGTCTGAGATAAGCTTCCACAGTGACTGCACACAGTTGATTATAAACTTGGTTAGTCAATTGACCGATCATCCACATTGGACAGGTTGATAACAGTTTGCTGTTCTTCTTTGGCTATCTGTGTAGTGTTTATCTCTGGCAACAACAGCATTTTTACATGTTCTTGAATTCGGGATTGCCGATTCACTATCATCTACTCGACCTGCCTGCCGAAAAGCATTAGGAACATCAGCCCTCTCCATTGTTTTTGCCTGTGCTGATGTTAAACAGATTTCCCCATTCTCTGCCATCATCAGTTTTGCATTATTGTTATTTCATCTCAGCATGTTTAATTTTTACTCATCTGTGGTTTATTTGTTATTATCAATGACATCTGTTTGCTTAACATATATTTGTTTCCTTGATTTGTAATAAAAACTAAATTTCAGTTTTCATGTTATGGTCAATCTTGTTTGTGGTGGTAAATTAGCATTTAAACCACTGTTTGTGATGCCCCAAGGCAGAGAGTCCCTACTGAGTGTGAAGTTTTAGACTCTCACATCTTACGTTTAGCATGAGATGGGGGTAGCCAGTTTCAGATCTATAAATAGTTTACAGATATACCACACTTTTTCCAGATGTCAGTCCAAAGTGGTGATAAGCCTGTAAAATGGTGACAAGACTGGGTTTTTAATCGCTTGTCTAACACACCCTCTCATAGCTCTGAGTTCGAGCAGCTTTGTAATACTTTAAACATTGGATTAGAATTAGTGATAAGTTATTCCTGATTCAGAATTTTCGCACATCTTCTGTTTCTTCTGCATTGAGAGCCCTTGAGGTTCTTCGCTGAAGATGTTACCTGCCTTGATTCATCTTTGTAATTATTCCTTGTTTCGGATCAGTGAATCTAAGTGTATGTAGGTCTGCTGTATATTATCTTGTCACTGTATTTGTCTTATGGTCCACTTCCATTCATTTCTTGTATATGCTGCTGTTCGAGTATTACACGTCACAAGACCATATGAGAAAGCAACAGCTGAAATTGTAAATATTTGTTCGATGTCAAAATGTAATTAATCCTGCAGCAGAATTTGTTTTCAAAGTAATTAATGAAATTATTAAAAATGCCAAAAATGAGTGCTAACACAAACATGTTTAATGCCACTTGTGTAGGCCTATTCAAAAAAAAAAATGTTGATCTGAACTTCGTAGAAAATTGGCTAATAAACAGCACCATTTATCAGAAATGGAAATACTGTGTTAGCACCAGCTTAGAACAACAGTGGTAGGCATGGCTCCTGGAAAAATAAGCAGGAGCTGAGCAAATGGAATTAGAAATATAGGGGATAAACACGAGACAGTAGACTTACGTTCTCTGGTCATCATAAGATGGGATTGATGTTCCATAGGGGAATAGTTGCTTTATGAAGTTGATATTTTACTTCACTGAGCACAATGATCAGGCTGTGTCTAAAGCCTGGTTGCTAAAATTAAGTTCTGTTATTATTCTTTTCCATGTCAGTGATAAGACACCATAGCTCAAGCTTCGAGTCTGCATTCTCTGGCCAAGCTGTCTGCAATTGAGTATATATTAGTGTATGTAATAAAAAAAAAATTAGACATATGTAGAAAGACGCACTAGACAGTGTTGGACCCATTGGCTGTGAATATAAGTCCAGGTGAGCCAACATAAATTTCTCCTCAGTCATGTAACAGGTACAGTGTAGTTTTGATCTTTTAGGGTTGCAGCAAATAGGATTAACACCTGAAGGATAAAAATCAAACTGGTACAAATCTCAGAAATTACATAATTGGTGTAATAGAGCACCCGATAGTTAAGTAACCTTTAGTCCAGTCTGGGCTGGAAATAATAAGACAACTCATGTAGCGGGTTGATGGAATGTAACCATGCATTCTGAAAAAACATTGCATCAGAGGTGGTTGCTAGTTTTAGTAATTAGAATAACTGAGGTACATTAAGGTATGTGTAACTGGTTTCCTTTTATCAAAATAACATGATATGAGTGGAGACTGATGCTTTGTGGGGTGTCGAGCGGCTAGTTGTTAGACTTACACTTCTGTAAGCGGGAATAGTATGTGATCGGCTGGAAAGTCCGAGTAAGGATAGTTGGAAAATTTAGTTGTGCATCTATTTGACGGAAAGTATGTTGTTAATCTACAACAATTAAACTGTTCTATATGGAAATATTAATTAAAATTGTTCGTTACAACATCATCACCCTGTGGTGAAATTAGAGTTTAAATGGCTTGTCTCCAGCAGTTATTGCTAGCTCTTTGAGATTGCACAGTGGTGCTTGATGCATTAGGCCAGTGTGCCTAGTGGTAAATTATGCAGGACACGGTTTTAGCAACATATCCATCAATGGGAAGACAAAGTGGCACACAGCAGATAGGCCTAGACCTAACTTAGTATCTTCTTCATAGATTGTTGTACCTTGCAATGTTACAGTTTAATTCTTGAGAGATCTGCCTGTGTGAATGTCCACAACAGTTTGGGTCTGAATTTTAGACATGCTTACCAGATAATCAGTATTGTTTCATCTTCACCTGTTTACATGTCATAGAATTAAGTTTCACTGCGCTTGCCCATATTGTTTCCTAATATTGGGCTGTGTTATTTAGGAATGTTGGATCAAGAATTGACATCATAGCACTTTTGACACTCCCATGAGCGCCTGTTTCCCATCTTCAGCAGCAAGCAAAGCGTTCCAATTCCAATAACACCAGCAACTCTCTGATTGTATTCCCTTTTCCCTTGGGTGTTGAGCATCGGCTAGATCCTTTTTTAAATTATCGCAGCGGTATTCTCCTCAGGCAGTAATGACCTATTTGTACCTCCGCACTGTTCACTCGCTCCCAAAGGGCCATGACAACATCTACCTTGTCCTAGATCAGTTCACCACAAAGTAGTGCAGAACCGGTTGGTCTATCTGCCTGCTCATTTCCCAACACACTGGCATTACTTGTTGGAGAAAATATCGAAGGGTGCTAACAACCTAGGATCTCTGAAGCAATGCTCACCACTCTATACGGAGCATGCCTGTCGCCACCTTGCTCAGCATACTCTTTGAGTCAGTTACAAAGCGACATCTATGCCTACAGCTGATTCAGAAGTCAGCAGTGACGCCCCCCACCTCCATTTTCAAACTTAACGTTGTGATATCATATGTCAGGCTTTGTTGTACTAAGCGACGTCCATTCACTTTTGCTATGAACCCCCATGCACTTCGTGTACCTCTCAACACAGAGCCATCTGTATAGACAATCACATCAATTGGGCGGGAATTGTCATGAATCATTTGTTGAACTTTTGCAGTACTAACTGGCCAGTCCCTGCACTCATGACCTAAAGTGATTAGAACCCTACACAAGCCGGATTCTTGACCCACTCCTCTCCTTGCTCAAATTGTTAAAGCCTTTAGGGCAGTGAGTTGTTTCTTTTGTTACATTAAAATTGATGCTTTTAAAAAGTTGTCTTTCTGGGATAGTTGCATAGAAGAGGAACGTATAAAAATTGTTCCACTTTTACTAGATTTGTTTTTAATTTATTTATGCTTTCTGCCAGAAAGGGAAGTTAAATATAATAAGTCAGCATTTAGAGGGATTAGCTAAAAAAATTTAGAAATTATTTCCCTGAAATTAAAGAGTAAAGGCAGACTTTGGATTAATAATCCCTTCTAGGTAGATAAAAGATCAGACACACTTGATCGTCACGACAAAGCTGATCGAGTTGTCTTCTGATGTTTCTCTTGTGTCCAGACATAAAATGCAATCATTATCTGAGTTTTGAATATCACTCATATAAGAATATCCATCTGTGAGTTAAAGAGCTGTCAGATTTTTTTATCTTTTTTTTTTTTTCGGGTTCAAGTTTGTGTGAAAATACTTTCTCAGCCATGTCAGTCAGTAATAAAAATCAAACAGAAATTGAATGGATGTTATTGCAGTGCTTCTTCTATCAGAAACAATTCTCCAGCCACATATATAAGATTTTGTAACCTTTAAGCTGGAAAGTCGGTGCAGATGTCGCATTAGCTGGAAACTGAGTTTACAGCATCAGATTCATCAAATAACTGCTATCTAGATTTGTGTTTTGTTAGGTTTCAGGTGGTCAGGAATAACTTTCCCCTGATTTGATGGACTGTGGGTGTAAAATTGGTTGAGGAACACAACACTAGACAACGTAAAAATTGCAAGCTTTAGTTACAAAGCCAGGAATCGAACCATGAGCAAAGTACATGTGTCTTTTTATTTTCTTCCTCTGGGATGTGTCTTAGTTGCAAAATATGGCTTTTGGTTCTCCAAATGACAGCACATAGCTGAACTGATCAATTCTGCTCTGAATGACTAGGCAGTATTCCCAGTAATTCCAAAATGGAAAGATACTGGAGAATATTAACTTAAAATAAGGGTATTGTGATGTTGTCAGCTCTGATTCATTCCATAAATCATGTTCTTTTCTTGTGTTTAAAACTTCCATGAAGAACCATCTCCAGTCATAGCTGGTGGTATTGGATCTGTTGTAATGATACTGCACAAATGTAGGAGTGTAGTGAATTCTGCTTTATAAATCTTGATGACTGGTGTTTTCCCAGACTGCAGGTTTTAATTTGTCCCACCTGTAATAGATTCTAAAGAAAACAGCTTTTCGATTGTCCCATTACGCAGCCATGTGTTCCTTCCAATAAGTTACAGTTTTGCAAAATACTTAAATTTGCAGAGTAATGTATAGGTATATAATATATAGATCTATGCTGAGAAAACTTAAGAACAATATAACTAGAATGTCTTTGCACTAGAACCCACAGTGGCATAGAAATAAAGGAAGACCAAAGAAAACATGAAGAAGGGAGCTGGCGAGTGAAGTTAAAAAGATGGGGAGAGGTGGATGCGATTGCAAAGGATAGAACGACTTGACCTGTTGCTTGAGGGCCTATGCTCCATTGGGGGTTAGAAAGGCAGAAAAAGAAAATGTATAGATTATTAAAGCCAGTATAAACACATCAATGACATTGTTACGTAGATTATTTAGTAACTTCTTGGAAACCGAAAAAATGCCAGCAGACTGCAGACAAGGATATCTGGTGAAACTGCCCCCAAAAAGTGATCTATAGAAGTGTAAAAACTATAAAGGAATTAGGTTGCTGTCAATTCCTTGAAAACTATTGAGTAGGATTATTTTTGGAAAGACTAAAAGATGTTTTTGATGAAAAGCTAAGAAACGAACAGGCAGGTTTTCAACTAAACAGATCCTGTAAAACCAGATAGCCAACTAAAGCAACATTGAATTCTTAGAGTATGACAAAGCGTTTGAGATTGATATGGAATCTCTAGACATTAATGGGGCACTATAGAATTCCTTTTTTTATTTTAACTGACAATTTCCTGGATTAGGAAGACAGCAACACCAAGAATGGAATTCAGTTGACCCACTCATAACAGCTTGTTGATCTAGACTTCGCTGAGGATGTTTCTCTTCTGTCCCACTCACGGAATCAGATGCAAGATACATTAAATTTGCTTGATACGAGATCACAACAGCTAGGTCTGAAAACCCATAAGGAAAAGACAAAAATTATGAGAATAAATCAGACAACTAGTAATGTGGTATTCCACTCCAAGACGTTTAGTCGTACACCTATTTCGGCAGTTATGTCGATAAAGATGGAACTAATAAAGAGATATTAAAATACGAATGCAAACGGAAAGAGGAGCTTCCACAGCGCTAAGGAATTTGTGGAGGTCAAAAGAAACTAAAATTAAACCTAATATTTTACATTCTAATGTGAAATCAGTCCTGTTGCATGGGGCGGAAACATTGGGGAACTAAGGCAATTACTAACAAACTACAAACATTCATTAATTGGTGCCTGCGCCGAGTAGAGGGAAATGCAATGGTATACTGACGCAAATGTCTCTACGGAGTGTGTCACTATGTTGCCATTTAATGCACGTGTGTGCTGTTGGCTTTGCGGAGGACTACAGTCTATTCAACATTTCGCTTGGAACATAGAGACGCATTGTGTGTGTGTGTGTTGCTAGCACAGAAATCAAACAATCATTGGGTGACCCATTTGTCCTAAAGTTGAACTAAGACTCCTACTTTAAGGAACCAAAAAGAATCTTCGATAGTTATTACCGACAGTTTTTTCCCATACCTTTCAACCATATAAGTCACAGAATAGAATTTATAAGTTGATACACATTATGTTTTTCGAAGTGGGAGTTCATCTGCCTGAAAGGCAAGGGGCCAACAGTCCGAACACAAATAAACCCGCTCTGTAAAACGGATGTGCGCGCAACACGTAAGTCCTGGAACAATGCCAAAGTCGAGAAGTGAACGAACAGCCAGAATTTTCCACCAGTTCACACCTGGGTAAAGCGAAAAAGAAGCTAGACATTATTAAAATGAAACCCACTGGTATATGTATACTACACTGTCGGTTACTGTTAAACTATGGTAGACGGGTGTGACTATTTGTATTCGGGCAGTGTTCGATTGCGTAATACGACATTGTAAACAAGATAACCCGGGTGTCACCGCTGTCCGATAAGCCTTGGGTGTCATTTGTAAGTAGTTTCTGAATTAAGCATAACTTGCTTGTAACTCAGCTGGTGGCGGGTGATAAGAATAGCGTTTGCCGTTTTATTACTATTACTTGAAATAATTCCCGTATTTGTTTGTATTTATAACCCATGGTTTGAGAATGAAACCTTCTCAAGAACTTATATTAACTGTGTGTATACTGTGTCTGGTGAATGTGGTCAGTTCTGGATTTCCAGTTCGTTCAACTCACACAAGCCAGACAACAAGCAAAATAACAAGCAAAACAACAAGCCAGACAACAAGACAGACAGCAAGCCAGACAACTTTCCGTACTCCTGCAGCAGGTAGGTACTATCAGAATTATCGTTTTCCCCCCATCATTGATTTGATTTGATTCAAGAACTGACATCACAGCACTCGGGGCATTCCCATAAGCGCTCCGCCCCCATCTTCAGCAACCAACGAAGAGTTCCGATACTAATGGTGCCAGTAGCATTCTGATTAAACGTCCGTCTTGCCTTTCCTCTGAGCCTTGAGCTTCTGCCAGAACCTCTCGTCACCCCCAGCTGCATCAGTCTCACCAGACTGTGGTGATCTATCTGCTCCTCTGAGTTGTACACGCTCTCCCACAAGGCACTAACCACGTCTGCCCTATCATGTATCAGTATTCCACCAAGTTGTGCAGAGCCAGCCAGTCTGTCCGCCTGTTCATTTCCCAACACACCGGCGTGACCCGGTGAAAAAATCCAGACAATACTCCTCACTCGTGTCCTCCGCAGCGAAGCACGCCACTCTGCACGAAGCATACCTGTTCTGATCTTCCTCAGCATGCTTTCTGAATCAGTTACAATCACTCACTGTGACGAAGGTAATTCACTGCAGCAGCTAAGAAACACTATCAGTCTGAAGGAGACAGGAAGAGCGTCTTCTGTGCATTTATAATACTCTACACTGCTCGGTCGCACTTAGCATAACAACTTAACGCCTGTGAAGAGTGTCTCACACACAAAAGAACTTCATAGCTCTAGCTACGAACACCAAGGATCTCAGTAAAATTTGCTTTTGTGAACCGAACGACAAAGTCCGTACAACGAATCCTGTCCCAGATTAAAAGTCTATTTCGATGCAGGCCAGGAGCATTTATAGACATTTCAAGAATTAAACCACAGAAATAAACAAATAAATTCGCAGGTTTTGGCAGACACTTAGGGAAGCAAAGGAGGGACTTAGAGGCTAGAAAATACAATGAGAGATATCGGCAGTCATGTAGCAGATTACTGCCTTCGGGTTTTAAAATGTAAGCGCCTTACATAATCTAGGCGTCCCTGTGTGGGCTCCGCGGCTGGATTTTGCTCAAATCGGATGCATTGACTTAAAGATGCAGATATCGCAACCTTTCTTTAAACACACACAACTCCAGAACGGCCTTTTTAAAGGCGAACGCAGAAGAGAGTTTATAGGCTACCCATATGAAGTGGAGTGGACAGCTGAATCCCTTTTCGCTTTTTTCTGTTCAGAGAATTCTAAAAATGTCTGGTTAAAATTAGTCGAGAGGATCGACTTCATTGCACCGGATTTTATCCCATATGGCTAGGTTTCTGTCCACAGAACGGCTAACGGCCTGCCCGCAGAGCCACGCAAAGCACGAACTCCGTAACTCCGACGACAATCCCCAGGGATCTCCGTAAAAATTGCAACGGTGAACTGAAGGGAGCAGCCGTGAAACAAACCCACGACCATCAGAACGCTACCCATTTCTGTGAGGCTGCGCTGCTAACGAGCCTTTAAAAAAACGTAATTGAAATCAGGGCGAAAACACTGCTGTGGATAAGACTGAGACAACAGTCTTGACATAACGGGAACTATCCATACGGGTTCCAAAGGGCACACTAGACTATAACTACTGAAACCCGTAAAGATTACGCAA